GCTTCTTCCTGCTTAGCCCTGCGGAGTGCCTATCTGCTTATAATTCTTTATCCAGGCAGTACAGATCCCTTATAGCAGAAGATGAATCTAATTTACAGATTTTCCAGCACTTGTAAAATAATCTTCATTGCCTTTTACCCCAAATGCAGGGACCCTACAGCAGCCAAGAACCCCCCTTTTGAAGAGAGCTTTAAAGAGTCTCTTCTTTGAAGTTTAACAGTCTCAATAATTTCACTCTTTTCCCTTTGTTCCCCTGGTGGTAGAAGTAGCAGCTGCTCCCTTCAGTTCCACTACCAGAGACCTTAGAGCAGGGTAAACTAGTTCCAAAAAGGACAAGATAGGAAAATATATTTCAATTTGTGGGCCATAAAGTTTCTTTCACAAGTACTCAACTCTCCATTTATGGTGTAAAACAGGAATGCGCAATGTGTCAACAAACAGGATGACTTCAATAAAACAGTATTTGCCAAAACAGGTTTGGGTAAGATTTTACCTGAAGATTGTACTAGGCTATTCTCAGCCCTGAGTTTCCATTTTATACTTTTAGTTGCCTAATTAACAAATTTATACTCCATTTACAATTCTCTACATTAAAACCAATCTATTATTTTCTGACCGTCACTGTCACTGTATTTTGCATTAACTCTCGGCTGTTCCTGTATTTGGAATCAGAAAGGCTGCTAAAAATCTGCCCAAAGATAGGAAACTAAGATTCACTATTTCATCTGCTTGGGCTTGAAAGAAGTGATAACAGTCTTATCAGTTATATATATATACATATATATATATTTATACTTATATATATATATAAAATACTGTCCTTGGCAAGCCATACCAAACTAGTGATGTAAATGACCTTTCTTTGTCTTTCTAGTCAATCTCTCGGATCTCTCTGAAACCCACAGGTGACACTGATACCCTTTTCTAGTAATCTATTCTCCAGATTCAGTTACATTTGCCTCCATTTCCCAAAATTAGAGTAGGAGCAATCCACATGTTACTATCAATAAAAGTTACTTCTCAGCATTTTTAACCTAAAAAACAGAAAAACCACATGTTTCTGTCACCCTAACCTATCAGTAACCTATCAGTGTTCCCCTGAAGCACATCATCATTCTCCCTGTGTTAAGGACCACTGACCTTGTCTATATTACAGAGCTTAGAAGTCACTTTGGCAACAGCTGAAAATGTCAAAACAGAGAGATAAACCTTAATCATTTAGAAGCATCTGGAATCCTACCCTGGACATAGTTACTGGGCCAGTCAAGATAATGGATGTCAGTTCTCTCTCTATCTTTAAGGAGACGGCTTATTCCCTCATACTTAGATTCAAAATGAAGTAAAGGAAGGCTGGCCCAAAGATTCTAACTCACATGCTATTTCCTTGGTCTTTGTTTCCTTTGCTTCATCATCAGAGCCCTGCAGCCTTAAAAGCTCAATTCGGAACCTCCACCATAGATCAACTGTATAACTAATTGATTGCCCTAGGACTCTGCTTTTATTTCACACTTATCAGATGAAATTTTAATGAGACTAGGAATGAGGGAGAAGTAGAGGAGGAGGAAGGAGTGGAGGAGAATGGGCAGACTCTAATCTAAAATATGGAGTTTTTTTAGTATTAGATCAAAAGAAACTACAGAAAAGTGCATTTCTGCTCAGAAGATACTGAATTCAATAGTGGACTTATACTAAAATTCATATTTTTTTAAAGTTGGGGTGGAAAGAAGAATTACTGGTTAGCAGTGAAATATGCCAAACCCATAAAACCTTCGCAGTTTGTTATGACAAATCACTCTTTTCTATGTAATCAAAAGTCCAAAACTAAGTCCTAACGTGCTAGCAAAGTTAAAGCCCACCTCTTGGATTCTAGAGGACTCCTCATAGAAAAGGAAAATATGGGCTCACTTCTAAGGTAGATCCATATAAAAGGAGGGTTATTTTGTTAATATGTTTATTTTTACATCATTTTGCCCCTTTTTCCATCTCAGTTGTAATCTCCGTGGGCTTCCCATCACCAGAACGCCCATGTACTATCATCATAATCCAGTGTACTTCCTCCCACCCATTTTTTATCCCATTCCCCACTCCACCCCTGTAAAATGTCTCTGGTATATGATTGTTCATTATTATTATTTTCTCCCTTTGTCCTTTATACTCCTGCTATGAGTGAAACCATCCAGTATTTTTCCTTTTCTTTCTGGCATATTTCACTAAGCATAATCCCTTCCAGCTCCATCCATGTTGCGGCAAAAGGTATGAGTTTATTCTTTTTGGTTGCGGAGTAATATTCCATTGCATATATGTACCACAGCTTTTTAATCCAGTCATCTATTTTTGGGCATATGGGTTGTTTCCATGTCTTTCCAATTGTAAATAAAGCAGCAATAAACATGGGGGGTGCAGGTGTCTTTCTGAACTAATGTTTTTGTGTTTTGGGGGTAGACATCTAGGACTGGGAAGGCTGGGTCATATGGAAGCTCTGTTCTTGGCAGTTTGAGGAACCTCCAAACAATTTTCCATAGTGGTTGTACTAGTTTGCATTCCTATCAGCAGTGCAGGGGAGTTCCTTTTTCTCCACATCCTTGCCAACATTTGTTGTTGCTAGTTGTTTTAAGATGTGCCATTCTCATTGATTTGAGGTGGTATTTCATTGTGGTTTTAATTTGCATCTCCCTTATTACAAGTGATGTTGAACATTTTTTCACATGTTGTTGGCTATCTGCATTAAAAGGAGGGATATTTTATGGCTTTAGATGTCTTAGAATTGGAAAGTCATCAGGATTCAAGACCTCCAGGGGGATGTGCCATAGTTATGTTCTCACGCTGTGTGCCTCCACCCAAAGGTGCAGGCACCAGCAATCTGCTCCTCTCTGCCATGAGCTGATTTGGCTTAGCTCACCCGATCCTGAGTTCCTCATCACTAACTCATCAACATGATCTGTAAATAGAAGTTCCAATTGTTAACCTGAAAAGTATGTCAAGCTTGCTAGTATATTTTTTCAAACATATACTGAGTACAGACTGTGCAAAGCACTGTGTTGAAGGTAGAGATACTCAGTTTTTAAAAAAATAAGATTTTTGCTCCATGGTAAATAGCCCTTTTATTATAACGGACCAAGGGGCACCAACAAAATATGAGTCATGTCACAATAACAAATAACTTGACAGAAAAAAATGGGCAAAAGATTGAATAGCTATTCCTCTGAAGGGAATGTGCAAGTGGCCAGTAAGCATGTGAGAGCTGCCTGAAGTCACCAATAATTAGGGAAATGTAATTTAAAAGTACAATGACATACCACCTTATATTTATCAGGATGGCTACTTTGTAAAAAACAGATCTTACCGCAATAAAAAACAATCCCATTAATAAAGGAAATATCAAGGATTGGTGAGAACATAAAGAAACTGGATCTCTTATGCACTGTTAGTGACACTGTAAAATGGTAGTCACTGTACTAAAGAGCATAGCAGTTCATCAAAAACATAAACATGAGATTACCAGATGAAGCAGCAATTCTACTTCCAGGTTCATACACAATCCTGAAAGCAGGATTCAGAATTATTTGCATACCCATCTTCATAACAACAACACTGACTAAAGCCAAGAGGTAGAAACAACCTAAATATCCTATCAAGAGATAAATGGATAAACAAATGAGGTCTAGACATATAATGGAATATTACCTAGCCTTTAATAGGAAGGAACTTGTGGCCTATACTACAGTATGGATGAACCTTAAGGACATCATGCTAAGTGAAATAAACCAGTCACCAAAAGCCAATGACTGCGTATATTAAAGTGGCATTAAATACATTTAATATACACTTTTAAAAAGGGTAAAAGAAATATTAAATTTTATGTGTATTTCACCACAATTTATATACATAACATTTCGTGTGTATTCTATGTATGATTTCAATGATGAAATGTTCCATAGAGAAAAATAAAAGCACATGGAATAGGAGTCTCTGGGGTGATAGGCATGCTGAGGCGGTAGGTAGGTTTCTCACCACCCCAGAGCAGGTGAGAATGAGAATCCAGGAGACAAGGGATGACCTGGGAGTTGTGGGTTTCCTGCAGGCAGTGACAAAAACAGGGGTGAGAGGCACACAGAAAATCCTGAAGCTAAATCAAGGTGAGGAGGGGGCACATTGTCAATGATGCCTTGGACACACTGACTCTCTCCCGACTCCTACCTTTGGAGTCCTGAAGAAGCAGAGAATGTCTTGATCTTGAACATAGGATTCATGGTCGCCCAGTGTATAAGCATAGAAATTTCTGTACTCCCTTCCTTAAAAGGGTAAATAACCCTGTCATCTGTTCCCAGCACTGGTCTTTAAATGCACTGCCTGAAAACGTGGCCATGGGTGCCTGTCAGCAACAATTCCATGTTAAAGTCTGTGACAAATGGCTACTCACTGCACAACCCCTACCTTTATAACAAGACACTTCCCAAGCCCCTGGGTGCCTAAATCAGCTGCACCCCAGGCCTCACGATGACTTGAGGCCATGACAAAGTGGGTCACGTCTATAGCACATTCAGAAAACCATGCTGTTCAGTTGTCCATACACTGGTGGATTGGGATGTTGGGGAATCAAGAGCATATGTATCCAGTTACTATATAAATCTGAACACCTGCTGACACTTAAATATGATTTTTAGCATTTGTACTGGAAAGAAAATCCTACAAGTCTCTCTGATAACCACCATGGGAGGGAACCATCACCACTCAATGTACATCATAATGGGAAGTCAAACCAGGTTTAAGCCATGCTGTTTCAGATGAACAATTCTCTGTGAGTTAACATGTGGCCATGAAGCAATGCTCTACGCGTACTATTTTGACGTTCAAATATATGACTTTATGACTTCTGCTCATTAATAAAAACAGAAAATACAGTGTTGTGTTTCTTAATGAAAATGAAACCCTGATAATTAGTCACGGTAGAAAAGCATTAAGATAGTTATATCAAGCACAATTTTTGAAAAACTACTTACATCCAAAGAATCCTCCTTCAAAAGAATAAGGGCCATATTCTGGGATACCAACCGACATGAATATCCTAAAGTGAGGGAAGAGAAAACACAAGAATTTACCATTTCCTCCAGAAACCCATCATTTTTCAGAGGTTATTTGAACTCAGTGTCCTTCCTTTCCTCTTCCTATTACCACTTTAAACCTATTGGTTCATACTCAGAGGAACTGGGGATGAGTAAGGGACAGGAAGTGTTTACACTGGTTTTCTTGCAGACAGCTTGAACACAACTTGCTGGGAAGACCTTCATAACTAATGGCTAAAATAAATTCCTGTCAATTTTCTGTGGATCTTTCATTATCCTGTATAACATTAGGATAAACCTTGGATTATCTGAAATAACAGCAAACACTTTAGGGAGACAGATGGAACCAAGTGGCACTGTGAATCAGCACCAACATGCCTACTACAATAAAGTCCCTCATTTGTTTTTTTAAAAGTAGGTAATTCTCACAACAGATTTCACAGGAATACTATTATAACACTGAGGGAGTCAGCTTTCCTGCCACAAATTCAAAGTGAGCCCCATCTTAAGAATTAAGCCTAGTTTTATTTAAAAAAGAAATTTTTGGAAACAAAGTATTCCGATACTAACTCCTAACAATTTCCACAGCACTCTGAAATTATCTCTGTAAATTATAAACATTAATATTCAGGACCCTATTAAAATAAAGTTTGGAGGCTAGAAAGAGCACCCCCATGTGAGGAAATCAGCGCTCTGTAGAGCCCAAGAGCCTGGGATCCCTACTGTTTCCCCTCCAGGGACATGGAGAGGCTGGGCCTCCAGAGGTCACATGGGGGCTGGGGCAGGCCTGGGGTAAATGCAAGCAGTTCTCCAAGTACATACAGTCCACTCTGTCCTCTCTCTGCTGTTGTTTTGTGTCTGAATAAATCCTGTTTTGTGTCTGAATAAATAATGAATTGCTTTTGCTTGAGATCAACAAGGTTAAGCAAGATACTCTTTTCTAATTTTCCTCCCAGAAGGTGAACATACTTTCTTTGAAGCTCTTTCCTACTCAGACTTTACAGCTCACTCCAAGACAGCTGGAGACAGTCAGTGACACCACACTCGAAGATGAGAGCCCCTCCCACTGCCTCCCTTCAAATCCACATACTCTGGGGACAGTGTGACTCCAGAAACCCCAAGATCAGGGGTACCTGTCAGGGTTCAGGTTGAGTGTTCAAATCACCCTCCACTCTTTTGGTAACCCTTGAGTGGAGATCAACATGTAATTGATACCAACCACGACTATATCAATTGATCGTTCAAAAAAGCAAGAGTTCTTCTACCTGGAAACTGACTCCTCACAGTTTTTACCAAAGCACCTTAAGATAATAGATCATACAGTTTCTTAATGGAAAAAAAAGATAATAGATCAATGATTATAGGAATGCAGAATGCATCATTAGCATAATAATCTCAACCCTACTGCAATTATAAAGAAGGGCCTTCATTGATGCTGTTCATAATGCAAGAAGCCGGGATTCACCACTGCAGAAAAGCTAAAATATCCATTCCCACAGATAATGTCTTTACCAAGGAGAGGAGTGAACCTTACTTAGGTGCACTAAGTCACAAAACTGTTCCAGTTTGTGCTGAATTCTACTCAGAAGTTTCTCTTTACATGCTTAAGAAACCCTATTAAATACAAAATAGAATTTAAGACAGATAAAAATTAAGATCAAGAAAGACCTGTGTTTTTCTTTTTTGGGGGGGAAGGGGGAAGGGAATACATGTCTTTTGCTTATTTTCAAATGCACACAGCTTGTCCTTCACTAACAGTTGTCATTTGAGAGGAGTACGTCATTGTTTTATTAATCACATTTGAACACAATTTTTAAAGCACAAAATGACAATTTTTGATCCAAATGCTATTTTTTAAAGCAATACCACAAAGATATAACTTAGGCTAAAACAGCCTAGAGTGATCTCTAGGGCATGAGATTATTTCATTTGCTATGCTAAAACCACCACATATGCCTGCCCTAGTGGCTCATGGGTTAGGACGCAACCCTGAGAGCTAGCTGCAGCTGCTTCAGTGCCAGTTCAATCCCTGCCCCAGAGGTGTGACCCACATGACACAGACCTCTCCTGACCCGCCCACTGCTCCCCTCAGCAGTGTACTTCGTTGATCTGCCTGTTTTGCTCCCTACTCTGTCCCTGGTGAAGCCTCTCACCACCCTTGCATCTCTGGCTTATACCCAAGTTCTTTGTGAATAAATAAATAAATCATTTTTTAAAAACCAACCACATATTTTCATTTATTTTTTTAAAGACTTATTTATTTATGCATACAAGAACTGGGGTATAGACCAGAGATGTGTGTGGGGGTGGGGGGTGTGAGAGGATTCACCAGAGACAAAGCAGGGAGCAGAACAGGCAGATGGACTGAAATACACTGCTGAGGAGAGCAGCAGGTAGGTCAGGAAAGGTCTGCCGCACCATGTGGGTCACTTCCTTGGCCAGGGATTGAGCTCATGCTGCAGTGGCTTTGGATAGCTTCATGGTGCTGCGCTTTAACCTGCTGCGCCACCACATATTTTTATTTTAAAACCAAAACAAATAGACTATCTAGAATCGTAACAACAGGTGGGTAAATCTCTAAAACAAAAAAAGGGGAAATATACATGTAATGGTACTCTAAAACTTTGATCAGGACTATATTTTAACCATAGGGCTGAGTAAAAATGAGATTTTTTTTCCAGAATATCATTAGAAGATCCTCAAGGTAGACTGAAATAATAGAAACCCCTGTTTCCCATTAAAATTAAACCAAAGGCAATCTTCATAAATTCTCAGATGAGATCCAGAAAGGTCTATATTTTCATTTACAAGAAAGGGCTATTGCAACTTTAACTGTTTCCCTCTATTCTGGGTTTACTCTTTTTATCCCCAGAGACTTCACACAATATAGACTGTTACAAATTAGGATAACTAATGCAAAAGAATTTGCTGGTAGTTTTGATTTGAACAACAGCTGCAGGAGTGTACTATAATTTTTAAGCCCTGGCTTGCTGCTTTATTTTATATTTTCACTTTAAGCAAAATGCCACTTGACAACTGAAGCTGCACGAAGATGGAAAAACTAAGTATTTTTCAAGCCATTGCAAGGAGAGGACAATAAATAAAACCACTTGACACTCTCATGAATTTAAATATACAAAACTAAAGGTTTCTGAGAAGAAACAGGTGTTTGGCTTCTTTGCTTTTAATTTAGAAAATGAAGTGAGATTTTGCTTCTAGAATTATCTCACAGAACACTGGCACTAGACAGATCATAGAAGCTTAACACAGTTAATTGTGACTTAGCTAATGTGGCAAATTAAATTATGTCAATTCAAGTTTGGTGTGCTTGATTTCTAATGTTTTTGGATAAAATGAGATCAACTCTTGGAGAAATGCCAGATATGAAATGTCAATCCACACTTGTAAATTGAGGGCTAGCTCTTCAAGTTCCAATCTAACAAGACGACCATAAAATGACTGAGAAGAACCTCTGGGATTTCACTTTTTACTACAGCTGAAATTAACAGCCCACTCCAGAAGTGTTTAGTCTTTCTACTACCTGAATATAATCAACATTCAAAGGAATCAAAACATTACAGAGTCCATGGTACTTACAGCAGTACTTGATTTTAAGACAATAAAATAATAATTCACACTAGAAAATATTACCAAACCAAATCTCTCCAATTTTGCACTTGGTATCTCTTTTATTTTTTCCTAGGAAAGCTCATGTTGTCAAAGACATCCAAATCCAGATTTCTTTGGAGACATTTTCAGAAGGGTTAAAATAATCCATCCCTACTAGCCAGATGTACTAGGATCATATTAGTCAAACTATCACCCATGACTGGGATTCAACCTGGTCCCAACCCCTCGATAAGTGTGTTGTTCGTCCTAAATGGTTTTCCAAAGATGGCACTCATAATCTATCCCAGATGGGGTCAAAAAGGCTCATTAGGGAGTCCTTCACCGCCCAGAGAACCATGGAGGGAGAGACTCAGTCACAGACTCACATACCTGGCATCTCACCTTCCAGATCCTTCAGGCCTGCTCAGAAAGACTCCCTCACATGTGAGAACGCACGACCTCAGACTTACCTCATCATCTCCTCCAAACCTGGCCATCCTGTTTGGCTATGTTTGGTCTTTTCATTTAAACAAATTCTTGAAGGCTCAAGTTTTAACCCTATCTCATTCATGAGGCCTTCTCTTTGCAACTTAGATATTTTTCCTTCTGAATCTCAAGTGTCACAGCTAGGTCCAAGATTTTCAGCATTCTTACACCTCTGTGACGGAGGTTAAGTTACTTCATCTTTCGTCGTACCTCAGTTCTATCTTTAAAAGGATGATAATGTCTATCTCAAAAGGAACTAAATATAAGACTTACATCAATGACTCAGCACAGTAAGCAGCAGAAGTCCCGCTGGCCTATGGCTATGCAGACAGCCCACCTGGAACTAAGCAAACCCTCCCTTGTAACAAACCTGCCCCTTCCAGGGACTGTTTTCTGTCTGCTTGTATCTGGGTAAGCGTCCTTTATTTCCCTTCCTTTTTAATAATAAACCTGCCCTTTTGATGTTATATAAAAAAAGGGACTTATCACAGTATTTGGCATGCCATAGCTAACACTAACTGAGTAACCACTATTAACTCCGATCATGTTTCATATTTATAATGCAGTTAATTTGTACTTTCTCATCTACCTCATTATGTAATTTGTTTCATAATTAACTCATGTCCCAATTAGAGAATGTAAATTCCCTGAGTCTACAGTGAGGTATCTGGCAATGATGCTAAGTGTCGGTAATCAAGAAAGAACATGTCTGACTTTTCTGGGAGAAACACAGAGGTGAAGAACACCACCAACCAGAGTTGCAATCATCATGCCCCAGCTTCACCTGGGAGTGGGCACTTATCCAAGCAATAATAGGCTAGACGAGCACCATGTTCTACTCACTTTTAAAAATTAAACTTCCAAGACTACAACATGTAGTTTTAAAGTATCAAATGATGGGTAACTAAATGCCGAGGAAGCATGATGGAATTCCAATTCAGAAATGGTTTATGGTGAAAGCTATTTCCAACTTAATGACTTCAAAATGGATACCCACCAGGATTTTGTTCTCACTCATCCTACATCCATTAAAAAAAAAAATTATAGGCCCTGAAATTTCAAATCAATTGTCTCACTATTTAATAGATGTTTTATCCAATGGTAATAAGGAAATGGCAGTCACACAATTCATAAGGCTACATCTGAAATTTCATTTTAGACTAATTGAGGCCAACTTTTTAAGCTAAAAAAGAAAACTGCTAACCCTATGAAACACAGCTAGTTAGCATAAATTCAAGCACAGAACAGCAGGATTCTGGCATCATGCCCATTCCAAACTATGTGAAACCCACAGGCTAGATGACTATATCAACATACTATTCATTGGTTCACAAGAGGCACAAATATCTTGGAACCTAATTTGACTAAACATGTTCACTTTCAAGGCATGGACTAAAAGTTACATTTCATTTTAAACTCTCAAACTATAACATACAGAAAGAAAGACAGAGACAGAGGCAGTCATAGATATATCAAACGCTTTATAAAGAGACCCAACAAACCCAAACACCAACCATATCAAATGTAACCTCTAACACTGAACTCTCACCATCTAAAAAATGTTGTGAGTTAAAAGTGGAAGAGTCAACAATCATGAGATATTCACTGATGTCAAAATAGAAAAACAATATGTTTTTCATAGAAAGGAAGAATTGTAGTAGCCCTGCCTTCTGACTGGAATTTCAGAGAACATTTTCGTGAAAGCTATATGTATCTGATTAAAATTAACACCTTGAGCTAGAGGGCTGTACACAGATAAAGATCAAAGACAGTGTTCAGAAGCCTATTCCCAATCCAGAGCCTAGCACTCAGCACACTGTTCATGGGTTCTATTTTCCTTGGTAAATCTAGACGTAGAAATTATTAAATACTTGATCATCTTCCCAACGATCTTCTGGATACACTAGAATGTATGTAGAATGAATTCAATTCTACAGCATATTCTGTAAGTAAATGGCTCATAAGACTGAGGACATGAGCAATGAATTGTATGACCAGAAACCAGGCATAAAATCCATAATATGACTGCAACGTGACGTGCGCTGCTTAGAGCAACCACCCGTGGCCTGACACCAGCAAACCTAACAAAATGTCTGCCTGTCCACATGCTGCTGGGCTTCTGCATCATTTGTAGGCTCAACAGATATCCTCCATCTCATAAAATTATATTTAATCCTCAATACTACCCAGGGTAACAAAAGAGTTTGGAATGCAAAGTGAAAAAAATAATTCAGACATAGCTCTTTCAAAGGACATCAGTGGCAGAAGCATACTTAACAAAACCAAAGAATTCTACTGATACAGTAGAAAAATAAGTATGAACAGAGAAAGGCTCCAGAATAAATATAGGACTTTGATAAAGTTATCCTCTAATGGTCTTGAGGAACATTCACTGAGAAATATATATTTTTTAAGTTGCTTTTAATCTAATGGGTATGAGTACATCTGGTACCAAAAATACAAAAGTTGCTATACTGCCTTTGAAAAAAGCACAGATTTAACTGTTTCTTAAAAATCCTGCTGAATAGGTGTCAATTATTTCCTGAGGCTCAGAGAAGCCTCACTGCATGAACACAAACTTTTCTTCATGAAAAATAACCCATTTGTGTTTTCTTGGTTGATATTCAGTCCATTGCTTTCCCTTGTGTTTATTCCAAACCTAGCTAAGCCCTGATAAGCTCAGATCCAATAAAACAAACAAGCAGGAAAGGGGTGTATGTGTCCCCTTGGGACGGGGTGACTGAGCTGAGAGGCAGGGACAGAGGGCAGTGGTCACTTTCCAGCTGTCACCTTGTCAGCACACTCTTGCTCACAGCAAACACAAAAAAGCACTTAAGGAAGTTAAACCTGGGGTTAGTAGCATAAAAGGCCATTAGTTCAGCAGGAACACTCAAGATCTGGAAGGAAGAAAGCTTATCATTACAGTTACATTTTAACTTGAGGGGTTACCCACTTCTTTCATATCACTCTTAGAGAACAGAAAGCATGCCTTTAAATTTAAGTAAGTACTTCAGGGAAGCAGTCAACTCTATGGGTCCTATATGAACACCAGAGGCCATATATCAAGCTCAATGTGTATGGGTAATAATACCTGAAGACCAATACACACACACACACACACACACACACACACGTAGAGAGTGAAAGAGAGAAAGTAGGGAAACTAGGGTGGGGAAATTATACCAAAAAGCAAATGTGTTAGTCTGCACTTAGAACTGTTAACACCAAAAAGCTAAGTTCTGGTTTTTATTTTATAGTAACATTAATAAATCTGAATCATCATCACACTCTTCTCCAAAAACATGTATGTGACAAGCAGCACAAATCCATGGACAGTCAATGCTTTACAGACTGTTCAAGAAATATACATCGGGCCCTCCCTGGTGGCGCAGCAGGTTAAAGCGTAGCACTAAGAAGCTAAAGCCACTCAGTATGAGTTCGATCCCCAGCCCTGGAGGTAACCCACATGGTGTGGCAGACCTCTCCTGACCCACCCGCTGCTCCCCTCAGCAGTGTACTTCATCAGTCAGCCTGTTCTGCTCCCCACTCTGTCTCTGGTAAAGCTTCTCATGGCCCCTGCACCTCTGGCCTGTACCCCAGTTCTGTATGCATAAATAACTCTTTAAAAAAAGAAAGAAATATGTATCACTCATATGACTCCTAATTTTCTCTTTTTCTAAGATTTATTTATTTATGCATACAAGAAATGGGATAGAAGCCAGAGGTGTGGGGGTGAGAGAATTCACCAGAGACAGAGTGGGGAGCAGAACAGGCAGGTTAACTGAAATACTGCTGAGGGAAGTACCAGGAGGGTCAGGAAAGGTCTGCCATACCATGAGGCTCACCTTCCTGACTGGCCAGAAATCAAACTTGTGCTGCAGTGATGGATTGCTTTGTAGTGCTGTGCTTTAGCCCACTCCACCACCAGGGAGGGTCCTGACTCCAAATTTTCAATATCAATTGTTTGCAAGCCCAATTTGCCCTTGAGTAGCTACAACTTAGATAAGTGATTAATTAAATAATAAATTTTTTTCATCTATTTAAAATTCAACCCATAGAAAAGGTCTGACTACATCTGACAAAAGGTAAGGTGTAAGGAAAGCAGCACATTAGATTCAACTGATGCTATTCCAAGGAGACTGTCTCAAAGAGGACAAGGTCACTTTAATCCAGATGTTCTAGAGTGTCTCTTCTTGAATTGAACATCACATAAGGTCTGTTTCCATAAATATATGATAAGATGTAGTACATTTTATAGTAGCATTAATAGATCTGAGACATCATCACACATGGCTTGTAATATCACAATGGGGACATAAATACCAGATAATATCTAAATATTTAAATCAATTAGATTTTTAAAAATTAGTAGTTTCAGTTACTCTTAAAATTTTAAATGTGCCTCTCTTTAGTACTAATTATACTATCTGGACTTATATCCCCATTTTTCAATTTTCATTTCTGTGATGCTTAGCAAGCAAAAAGCATGTCAACCAGAGAAAGGAAAGAAATTAGCCTCTCACAAAAAAAACAAATCAATCAATTAGTAAAATCATTAAAATGCTTTAAATGTATGTGATCATAATGTACATTTTAAATTTATTCAAAACTTGTTAATCTCTTAGATTAAAATTCTGCAAAGGAAGTATTAAGAAAATCAAAGTTGTCAACTATTAAATTCTGTACACTGTATATAAGTACACTTAATACCTTTCAGTATATAGAATGATTTTAACATAACATGCAGATCATGCTCATAAGAGCATCCTCACTTGGGTTAGATAATTTTTCTTGGCCTTGTAAATGAAGAGTTCTAGAAAACGTCATTTGTTGGTGCCCTCAGGAATACTTAGGTGCTCCTAAGAGACATTTTAAAAACACAATACAAAAATCAAATCAAAAACTTATTTTAAAAGAAGTTACCTATATTAATTGCAGTTTCTTGCTTGTCACCTGTCAACACCCAGATTTTAATTTCTGCCTTCAGTAGAGTTGCTATGGTTTCTGGGACTCCTGCCTGAAGGCGATCTTCTATGGCTGTGGCTCCAAGTAACAGTAAATCCTAGATTGAAAAATATCTTCAATTAAAGATTGAGCAGCATTAATGGTAAAACTAAGACAAAAGAAAGGCAGTCAAATGTTTTGACAGTTATCTTAGATCCTCTATGCTAAATTTTGTTTGCAGATAATTATTCACGATGTTTGAACACTCTGCCCACACAGGCAACAATTACACATCACTTATTTCTTAGTACATGAGTATATTAGGAATCAGGTCATCCAGAGGGGAGCATATGAGCAAGTTGTTCTTTGGATATTTACAGTTTTTGACCCTTGCCTCTCTCTCCACTAATAAGTAAAATATCATGTCAGTGCTAACACAAGAGAGAAACTGATGCTAGATGGTACTCTTAAATAAAATATAGGCATTAAGAATTCAACAGAGAAGAAAACAATCAAGTTAAGATTGAGGAGCTATAACATGTTGTCTTGTTGATCTGCTTCATTGTAAAGAAAGGAGCAGTTCACACTGAGGAGGGGTATGACGTGCAAAGCTTTGAGCTGGTTTGCCTACCAGTCTGGAAGATTCCAGACTCTTCACACAGAGTGTCTGTTACTCTTCCTGGCCTCCTGAGTTTCTCCATGTCAGAACTCCTCAATTGGGTGACCTGACCATGGGAAGAGTCAATAGCCATTCCCCCATTTATTTGTTTAAGTGCAGTAGCCACACTGTATATGATTCAGCAGATATATATTATCACACCATTCTCACCAAGGGATCCACAGCCCTTGACCACAGTCCGTTAAGCCCCCTCTACAATCTGCTCTCTGATTTCCCCTCTCTCTCTGGTAATCTCAATTCTATAGCCAGACTACTATAGTGTATTATTGGTTTGGTTCATTTGACCCTTTGTTTTGTTTGTCTATATTTCACATATAACTGAAACCACCCATATTTGTCTTTTTCCTTCTAATTTATTTCAGTTGGCATAATCCACACCATTTTGATCCATGTTGTAGCAAATGGCAATAATCATCTTTTTTAGAGCTTATTAGTATTCCATTATGTATATATACCACATCTTCTTGATCTACTCATGTGTTTTGGGATGCTTAATTTGTTTCCATAGCTTAGATACTATAAATAGTGGTGGATTGAACATAAGAGTGCATGTAGCCCTTCAAATTAGTATTTTTTCATTCTTAGGTAGATACCCTAGAAGTAGAATTGCTGGATCATATGGTAGATATATTTTTAATATTTGGACATGGAAAATAAAGACTCTATAAGGGCTAGACCAGTCCACCTTCCTACGAACAGTAAATGAGTTTCTTTTTTCCCATATCCTCACCAACACTTATTGTTTCTGGTTATTTTTATATCGGCCATTCTCTTATAGATGTGAGATGGTCTCTCGTTGTTACTTTATTTGAATTTCCCTGATACTAAGTGATGGTTAGTATTTTGTCATGAGCTTGTTGGCCATCTGTATTTCTTCTTTGGAAAAGTGTCTGCTTAGCTCTTCTGCCCAATTTTTGATTGGGTTTTTTGTTTCCTTTCTGTTGAGTTGTATGAGTTCTTTTCAAATCTTAGATATCAGCCCCTTGTCAGCTGTATGATTTGCAAATATATTCTCCAGTTCAGCAGGTTATCTTTTTGTGTTAATGATAGTTTCTATCACTGGACAGAAGCTTTTCAGTTTAATATTGTCCCATGTGTTTATATTCCATTTCTCTTGTAATTGAAGAGGAATCCACAAAGATATCATTGCAACCTATATCCTGGAGCATTTTGCCTATGTTTTCTTCCACGTATGTTATTGCTTTAGGTCTTAAATCCATACTTCTTAAGCAATTAATTATATACCTAGTGCCACATGGATACATCATCCAATTTTTGCCTTTTTGGTATCTCTAGGAAAGCAGGGCAAAAAGGACACTTGAATTCCATTATACTACTTCCCAGCTTCCATTAAAATGACAAGTGAATATAATAAAACCCAATAAAAACCTGAGTATAAAAGAAAAGGGGGGAAAGGAGCAAAGGAAAATTAAACTACACACAACAGAAGAAATGAAAAAAGTAAACAGGTAAGGATTTCAGAGTTATGTAAACTGGAAAATCGATGAACCACTGGTTGCTGACATGAAACAGAGGCAGCTGAAATGTAGCACCCAGAGTTGAGGGAATCTAAAACATAGAAAGCCACCAAATGCCTTGGGATAAGCTGAAAAGAACAACAACAACCCAAAAAAAGTAGGCAATATGGAGGAGATACATAGCAAAGCAAATGATACTCTAAAATTACTAGAATAAGTATGCAGATTCTAAGTATAATATCCAAACAGCCTGGCCCTCCAGCTGCTCTGAAAGTCCGCAGGGTGAGTTGATCTTCTCAGAGCCTAATCTTAGGTAACCTAAAAAGTCACTAATGCTGATTTTGACCTGATATTTCCTTAGCTGAGGTGGCTAGACCTTTCAGATGGCTCATAAAAAACATATGTTTCTAAAAAAGAAATGATTAAAAGCAAATGATTAATTGAGATACCTACAAGAATATCACTAGGCAGCAAAAGATTACTGTTCAAAGACGCCATTCAACACGTGGCTAAGCTGCTCCCTGGGCATATGATTGTATCATGTGCAATTACCTTCTCAATGATCTCATAACACTCTTCCAACCGCTGAGCTCTGTCTTTCAATATGGTGCTGGCTTCTTGATAGACTTTCAGCCACTCTTCATACTCATTCTCAGAGAGGTCAGCATAAGCCAAACACAGAGTCCTCAAGCCTGCAAAACAGCCACAGAGCATCCCAGTGATTCCTCTGGCGATGGAGGCAAATGGGGAAAAAACATGGCTCCATTTTACACCACCCTGCTCAAAAATGTTAAAGAACCCAGCTGCTTTTTAGGAGACTCCAATCCAACTTTCACACATATAAAATGGGAATGTAGAAACAACTCTCCTGTATGTTAAGATGAACCCTCTCTTCTATAAATCTGACACATATCAGAAGGCACAAGAGTGGGGTCCCCACAGCAGGAAGTGCAGGGGGGTGCAGGACCCAGCTGTAAATATGCTGAAGGCAGGTGTCAGCAAGCAGGGAGGCAGGAAGTACATTTCAAGACAGCAATAAAAGCCCAATTGCTATCACATGAAACATCCGGCCTTCAGGCAGCTACCCTGTTGGGCAGGGTGCAGGTGCGTGTACACACGCAGCCGTCAGAACACATGAAGGGGAGGAAGCAGCGGTCAGCATTTCAGCAAGCCGCCTGCTCTCATCACATTCCCTTGTGATGTCAGGGAAAACCTGACATCAGTGTTGTTACAAGCCTTTCAGAGAACACCTTTCCTTTTTTCTATGGGTTCAGTGAGTTATGACTGCTGCTAAGACACAGATAGGCTAGTGTCAGAAGGATTAACAAAAGAATAGAGAGATGAACAGGCATTTTCTTAGAAATGGAATAAGAAATACCCGATGAGTCAAGACATCCTGAGTCGGCTGCCCCTCCTATCTGTTCTTCAGGCTAAAATGAGCAGAGTCATGGGTCGGTAGTTGAGTATGGACTTTCCAACACACCCTATCACTGTCACAGGCCCAAAATGGGAAGTTTTGGGTTGGGGGGTAGCACTAGGAGCACCCGTGCCTGTGAGGTGAGCCAAGTACTGCACGAAAATGGCCACCTGTCCAGTGCATAACTGAGTACCTAGACAAGGCGCAAAAATGCCATAACCACGAGAAAGCAAAACCTGAATGGTTAAGAAACATTTCCCCATTTCACTTACCTTCTGTGGCAAAATACTCCAGATGGCATAATGTTTCCTCCATGTACTTTGAATCTTTTGAAAGTCTCTCAAAAATGACATTATCCTATAAAATAGGGAAATGTTGTGACTGGCAAAGCCTTAAGTCAACCCTCCAGTCAGCATTCTAAACATAGTTTTGTTTTAATAGTGTTGATCTAATGTACGTGTGAATACTTGAGTGGGCAAGAAGAAATATAGTTCTTGGCTGGATTCAGTCATGAGCTTTGGGAAACAAATCGAGTACGATTGAGCCCAAATGAAAACATATCAGAGAGGCCCATAGGTGCCAGGGTAACAATCAGGGACACAGCAGCACCTATATTCACCCAAACTGGCAAGACGTATACCACTTTTTTGCAGAACAGAAAGGGTAAAATGCACATGTCAGTTATTCAGGTACACTCTTGCTTCCTGACATGGAGAAAGTTCCCAGGCAGGGGACAGACACAAACTAGACACTGTTTGTGAGACTCCCACAGGCATGACCCAATACACCACCCTGTCGTGGCTTCTGTGACCCATGAGCATGGCTGGGGGACCAGATGTCACAGACCCTCCTTTACACTGCCCAGTTTTAGGAGACTAAAGGACTTTTTCAGATATCTAGTTTAGTTTAGGGCCAATAGGTTTGAAGAAAATTAAATCCCATGAAAATAAAATGTACCACTGTAGTAGTTTCCTATTTACACTATTATATAATTGCAGCCTTTTATGTAGTACTTAGAATATAATGACAAATTAACAAAAAGTTAAAAAAATTATCATGTGAGAATATAATCTAGGTGATCTTGGCATATCAGTAAGTTATTGCTGTAAACACAGAATTCTTTAATGAGTCCAGATACAATACTTTTAGAATTCATAGGTTATTCCTTTTTTTTTTAAGCTCTTGTCACAGTGTATTCAAATAAGATCATGCTTTCCCCCACAATTGGTAAAGATTAGTAAAATTTTCAATAAATCATTGACCCTATGTAGAGCTTAGTATTCTTGACACAGCCTCTTAAAATGAGTTTAGTAATTCTTTCCTTCAGTACATAAAACTACAATTTAACAGGTGATAGTTGTCCAAGTAAGGTTCGAAAGCAATAACCTCTTTCATTAGGGATAATACATTCAGATTCGATTACTTAGAGTTAAGACAAAAGGCCTGGCCTAGGAACCTGACCAATCGGGGCAGTAATAATGTGACCACAGTGGACACATTATTGTCTAACCCTTGTACCGATCACATAACACTCTGTGATGAAAGAAAGAAACTGTGACAGCTGAAAAGCAGGGCTTCTGGAGAAGCAATTATCATCAGTCAGTACAAATTGCCTGATCTTCCCAAAGTCCTAACTCAAAGGTAGTAAACCTGGAATCAGAACTGCACTGTAAGGGCAATGATGACACATCAAGTTACTGTTCTGAAACTAGCCACTGGCTAGCAAGCTTTGCACTGACCATCTTTGCCACATTGGCTTGAGCCATCAGGATCTTTAGTGGGCTTAACCTCTTAAGTCAATCCCAATGGTTGCCCTGAGAGAGCCTTTACCCTGGGGAAACGAAGGAGTGATGAGGCTAAACAGTTAGGAAAAACAACGGAGGACTACATCCCACACTTTGCCAGTACTTACAGCCCCTTTACAATAGAGTCGAAGTTGCCCTGAAGGAGTTCGAACGATTACAGACATCCTTTTTCTGTCACTGTAAGAATTTAAGAAAGAAAAAAAAAGTTGCCATCAGTCCCTTTTATAGGGTCCCTGTCCTGTGATTAAACACAGAATGAATCAAAAGGTGGTCCCCAAAATGGTCAAGCTCCATTTTTCCTTCCCTTTCCTCTCAAAGTCAAACTTTAATTGTAGTCTATTTTCTATTTTTTCTGTTCCTTTCTCTGTCATGGAAACTCATTGTCACAGTTATTACTAGTGGCAGAGAAAAATTAAGGATTTAAGCATCTGCCAATACAACTAATTTACTTGTGACAATACACTATAAAAGGACTATTGCTTACTTCGCAGATCAAAAATACTAAGCACCCAATACGTAGCACATTGGAAGAATCAATATAAATCCTCTTTACTCAAAAAGCTCTTTATTATAAATGGAGTAGAAAGAAATTATAAATTTGTAGGGCACTCCTAATTTGGCATAAAGGTTGAATCCCCTCGTCCCACTTCGACATGAACATCTCCTTAGTCATTTCATCACTGAGGCTTCAGTGTCTCCCCATTACCTACACATTCATCTTCTTGCTGGGTCTCCACAAACCTCTGCTGCCTTGCCCACCTTTCCTTGCGAATCCTCTCCTACCACCCAAGTTTCAAGTCTTCTGGTCCTTCTGTTCCTTACCTTCTGAGATAAACATTTTCTTCTCCAGAAATACATCTAACTACAAGCCCCAATCCACCTGTCTCTTTAGCCTCTCTGTAAAGTTTTGCCAATGGACTCTAAGTTCCTAGAAGTAGGGGACAGTCTCTCTCCAGCCTTGTATAAATTCCTATATCCTAACCCACAGCACTCTGTCTGACTGTACATGAATTCTCTTCTAGCTACTCAACAGTCTGGTTCCATCAGTTATCTATACTTTTTCAGTATCTGAATGTATAAAACCACCAATATATAAACAAATATTTTGAGAATTACGTTGCATCTGGGAAAAGATTGTCAACTATCTAACCAAAAATGATCATTTTGTTCACTCTTATTCTCCCATATGTTTCCTTTAATACACCTGTGTCTCCATGTATATATATTTTGAAGTTATTTCTAACTTCCTTTTTTCTAACCACGCCTCCAATACTGCTGATCCCAGTTAATGCAGTCACACAACAGCAGTTTCCAGAACCACAACTGGGGATTGGGACACAAAATCTAGATATGGGGAGCACAATGTCTAGAGAAATGCCTGGGGTGTCCCTCCCACCCACCTATATGAACTATGTACTCCCCACACCTTCTATGACTATTACTCTTATCAAACATTTCTCTCCTCCTTTGAATACAAAACCCATGGGTCCCTGACCCACCAAAGTGCAAGTTTGTAGTCCAAAAACTAAAGACGAAACTGGAAAGCCTTTCCAGCCCTCTCCAAAAGAGGGTCAAAATTGTCTTCTCCTAATAATTTAGAAAGCAGACAGAACATGTAACTTATAAATCATTTCACAAAGGTTATTGGAAGACCCAGCTAATTTTTACTAATAGGAAGCTCTGTTCTAGTAGTGATAATTCAGTGTTAAGAAGAAGCAAAGAAACAAAAATTAAGATTTTTTTTCTTATTTCAATCTATAAATGGTCGAGGAAACAAACAGTCCTACATTCCCAGGTTTTAAATGAAGTAAACCACACTGGAGAAGAATGAGTCTGAATATATCCAGAAGAACGGCCCTTTCTGGGCCAAGCCTGCAATCTGATGCATCAGTATAATCTGTCCTCATTTGTCAGTTTCCCAGATCTCACATGGGACTGCTTGGATGGAGCCTGAGGAGAACTTGATGGGGCCTGGGGAAACCAACAGCAATAATGCCGTGGTCACAGACTCCAGATCATGCAGATGTGTCTGCATCTGCTAGTACCAAAACGCCAGGTTCTGGAAATCTAAAGGAAAAGGAAGACATGGAAGGATAGTATTTCAGATGGAAAAAAATAATGACTTGCTACACTTTCTCTAATGAAAGTCACAAATTCCATGGACAGGAGAGGTTGAGGAGATATACTTACTGTATTGAATGCTTAACTATTAATTTAACCTTACCATTCAAATACCTGATTAATATGTAAAATACATGTACTTTTTATTTCTTTCAACTCTTATGAAAGAGAAACATACCTAGAAAACTCCAGGACATTCAGGATTTCAAATGTCTGTTCCTGTCCCATCTAAAGGGAAAAAAGAACAACAGGCTCTTATCTGAGATATAAAATACTAAAATCTCAAAACAACTCACTCCCCAATCACAATCTCCAAACAGACAGACATCACTCTCCCTCTCTTACTTTCTATCACCTGTTAAGTTTGCAAAAGCCTTTTTCACCTTGGAGTTTCCCAAAAGGTCGGTCTGGTGGGGTCATAGCTCCCCCTTCTGGCGAAAAGTTTTCATTTTTTTCTCCTGTCCATTTGACTATTAACAGAATTCTGAGTTACCTGGCTGCTTCCATGTCATTGGGAAAGGAAACCAAGTACACAGGTCCGTGTGAAAGCTCAGGGCCACCTGAACTTTATTTCACAGTTTTACATTTGTGATAGAAATACCAAAAGATTGTGCTGTAGCAAAATGTACAACTATTTACACTGAGATTCATAAAGACCACAAGTAGCATTCTGTCAGTTTTGCTAGGTTTTTCTGCCAATCATCTATACTTCAAATTTGGAACTCAATTTTTGATTTAGAAATACAGGGTGATGAATCTGCATCAGATTTTTAGACAACTAAGCCAAGTCCTTTTACTTTGGGTTCTTCACACCCAGGTCCCTCCCTGGTGGCACAAGGGATTCAAGTTCAACACTATGAAGCTATCCACAGCCACTGCAGCACAAGTTTGATCCCCCACCAGGGTGATGACCCGCATGACGCAGCAAACCTCTCCTGACCCGCCCGCTGACCCTGGGGCAGTCGCCGCGAGGGGTGGGTCCCCCTTCCTACGCTGGCTGCATCAACCACTTGTGTGTGCAGCCTGTGGGCTCCCTGCTAACCAAGCTGAGAAATTATTTTTTAATGATATACAAGTAGTAATGATAGATTAGGATTTTTTTAAGATTTATTTATTTATACATACAGAAATGGGGTACAGGCCAGAGGTACAGGGGTAGTGAGAGGATTCACCAGAGACAAAGTGGGGAACAGAACAGGTGGATTGATTGAAATACACTGCTGAGGGGAGCAGCGGGCAGGATGGGAGATGTCTGCCACGCCATGTGGGCCATTCCCTTTTCCCCCTCTTTCCCCCACCTCCTAATCCCCCCACCCACCCACCCCCACCCCTAAGGATAGAACTCATGATGAAGGGGTCTGGCTAGCTTCCTAGTGCTGTACCTTAACCCACTGCACCACCAGAGAAGGCCCAGATTAGCATTTTTAAATAAATTATTATTTGTGAATCTTAACTTATCTGCTCATTTCTAGTCCCAGAAATATGGCCTTAAAACTTAAACAAAATGACAACGGGATGCTTTCCATCAGCATCTAATACTGAGATGACAATACCAAGAGGATCCCTAGCTTCCCATCATCAACTGGTACTGTGAGCAAAGCAAAGCAGCCAAGCTGTCTTGGGTCTCTCCTACTGAGAGAGTGCCAGTCCACAGCATTCCAAATCCCTGACACTGCAATGCAGAGAAATTCAGCAGCCATACAACAAAAAATAGTTCTTTGGTGAAGGGCAAAAGTCTTAACCTGAAGGGGAAGAGCCCCCCCCCACACACACACACGCACATACACATACACACTTTGTGAAAAGCTTCTATGCAGAAAATTCAGTAGTCAGTACTTTGTTCCAATTTAGGAAGATCATATATTTCCTAAAGCTAAATTCCCTCTGTTTGTTGAAATTAAAACTAATTATATGAACCTCTGTACTCCATTAAAAAATGGTAGATGTCAAGAAATGGGCACTTTGAAAAAAGCTGATAGTTTATAGGTTTTGCATATAAAAAAGGGAAAAACTGATGACTTTCAAATCAGAAAGCTTATCAAGTTATTACTGTCATTGAAAATGAACTTCAAATGCACTGAAGAGATCTAGACACTTAGGAGTAAATCAAGCCATAAACCGTAATAGTCCATGAGCCCTTCCCATATGGAGGGGCAGAGAATGACAAAGGACAGAGAAGACAGTGACCACTCCAGGTCACCATCCCTTCACATAGTCGTGACGCTTGTCTCTGTCACTGACCACAGGACAAATGCCAGAGCCCTGAAACTCATGCCAGCTCCCGCCAGCCAGTTCTGTTGCCTATCTCAATGGTGCCCATGTGACCTTACTCTTTTTTTTTTCCCTAAGTTAAGTGGTTTACATTGTTGTTTGTATATTCTTGACATAAATTTTTCCTCTCACTAAATTTCTCCCTCTGACTCCCTGAAAGGGAAACTCAGAAAAAATCATAGGATAAGTAAACTCCTTGATCTCAGGGAGAAAAAAATCATATGTGTATGTGTGTGTCACCTATATGTATATATGTATCATATGTATATGATAGATAGATAGATAGATAGATAGATAGATAGATAGATAGATAAATAGATAGATAGATAGATAGATAGATAGATAGATAGATAGATAGATAGATAGATAGATAGATAGATAGATAAAGCAGATAGACCTTAAGCACCAAATCCTTTGTCTGTCAACTAGAGAAGTGAGGGCTACAAAACCCATCAGGTATGGGGTCTCAAAAGACAGAGACACAGACTTTGTCCTTCAAGTTGAGTAGGCCATGAAATGATTATCTCAACTATTACAGAATAGTGAGTAGGCTTGCCAAGTTCTTTGCTGCAAATATAAAGGACTTACAGGGAAACAATGACTGGAACAATGACTGGAATGCAAAAAATTGCTATGAATACACTAAAGTAATCATACAATGTCCTCAGCTTTACAATAGGTATAGTTTCTCAGAGAAACTAGGGGAAAAAAAGACATGTAAGTATTGAATTTACAGTAGATATGCCATTTCAAATATATAGCCTTCCAAAAAGCTGATGACTGACCACACTGACAAGTGGTAAGGACTGTCCCTTACCGCTTCTATGATGACTGAGTACGGTGTTCTGCCCGTGAAGACAAAGCCCAGCTTTTTAGCTCCTTTCACCAAAGCAGCTTCATCTGTTGATAGAGAGTTGATGAGACATTGACCAATATTGGTCATGATAGAATTCTGTTTAGTAATTATTATTTTTCAAAGAAACAAAATATCCGCATGAGCTTCAGGAAACCTGGCCTTCCATACATAGTAGCGAGGCCTGGGCATAGGGGCCTCTCACTTCATCTTACCACCAGGGCCCTGAAAGGAGCATTAGACAGGAAGACACAGGATTTGCGAACATTCACCAGGACAAGGCTGATTGTATACCTACCACTCTTGGCTGAGTCATTTTCTTTAGTGAGCATAAATATTATGTTCTCGACTTTTTGACTAAACATCCCTAAGTAAGCACTGCTTTGGTTCTAGACCGGCAATTCATAGAGCACAAAAATGGGGGGAGAGTTAGTGTTCTGGCACACAGTTCATCAGCCCTATGAAATTCCATTACAAATGGGGGTGAACAGAGAAGTAGGCACTCCCCTGGAGAGTTTCATCTAGCACAATGACTTTGCTTAGAAGTTTGACATGGCCGGGGTCTTGCTACTGTCTTTCAGAGCTGGTCGCCATCCCTTGTGAAGTAGGGCTGTGTGGGCAGGCTACCCAAATGGATCTCAAAGAGAGGCAAACACCCACATTGCCAGAGAAGGGGACACAGGGCACCCCCTCACCTGGGGACGAGGCCTGGTAGATGATGTTGTCTCCATCCTTCTCAGGAACAACAGTATGGCACACAGCCAGAAGGGTGAGGAATTCCTGGATGCAAGGAGCTGTAGGCTACAAACACAAAACTGAGTCAATCTGTCTGTTCGAGCACAGCTGTCATTCATCAGTCAGGTTTAAATCATACCCTGCTTAACATCCTCGAATGTCTTCCTCTCTCTTTAGGACAGAAGTGGAGATCCATGGGAACTCAAGTCCCTGGTAACTGCACCTGTCTGCCATCTAGTCCCATGTGCTGCCACTTGCTTCCTGCATTCTCAGGCACCATGGTGTCTTTCTGCAAATGAGGTCTGTCCTTTCCTGCTGTTCCATCAATGACCCCACCTGCCTTTAGTAACTTTTTCTATTTATTTGTCCTCTGGTCTTCAGCTTAAAATTGCTCTTGCCAATAATTCATGCATCAGGTAAAAATAGGGGGACACTTGCCCTTCGTAGGACTCAGCCAGCACCCCACTTCACTCATTTTTAACACTTCAAATGCAACTGCTCCTCACATGCTTTCCCCACTTCTACAATGGCCAAGAGGTCAGCAAGCCATCTATCTGCCTTCCTTGCTAAGGTGTCCCCAGGCCCAGTACACAGAAGACATGCCAATCTGGGCATCCACGTAGCAAGAACTGGCCCACCAAACCCATGTGTTTCTGGCTTTCTATTCTATTACACTGGCATTTGTTCTCTCCTGTATCTGGTTTTTGAGTTTATAACTTCTTAAAATCCAGAAAGCACTGCATCCCTCACCTATTACATTTAAAAAACATGATTGTCCTGGATACATATTTAACATACCCTCCACACACACACACACACACACACAAACGTATACACAATTCTTAAACTTTTCATTGGGATTAGACTACATTTGTAATTAGCAACCTGTCAAAGAATACAGTACGCCTTCCTATTTACTGCAGACTCTTAAAATTTCTAAATATCAGTTCCAGCATATTTCCTATTTCTTTATCCATTCAGAAAAAGTCTGCATACCTATTCTATGTTAAGCATTGTACCAGTCATTTTGTCTACTACATTTTTATGATGAATGAAACCTTATTTCCATAATATTTTACAAGAGTTTACTTTTTATGTAAGAGAATTAAAAAAAAGACACTGAGACTTAGCATGATAAACAAACATATAACCATATAACTTAGAAAAAAATTTCTTATTCATATAAATTTTAGACATTAGTTTAACATCCACGTATAAGTTACATCGCACTAGCCTTCTGGTTCCAGGGAACTCTTCTGGGTTTTCAAGATCATTATACCATCCACAAATGATAACATTTTCCTTTCCTTCATTTTCCATTGTTTTCACCAGGCTGTAAGTGCTAACACTTTAGCAATGATGTTCAAAGTCAACGTGTTGCCAGACTTCCATGTGCTGAGGTAGTTTTAATGCCAATGTTTTAATGTTTCATTTTTAAATAAGCAAGTGGCCATGAAGCTTAGATAAAGATGCAATTTCATACTCAGGAAGGAGCCTTGTGCTTGCTATTTTTGTGCAAGTTTTTTAATTTGTGTGTATTTTTGCTTAGTCACAAATGGAAGGTCACTATCATTTGAAACACTTCCTGTTTCTCCTTTGACCTCTAAGATCATAGGACAAGAATAATTGTATGCAAGGAAATCACAGTGGTTTGCATGATTTATTAACCACCTTCACAAAATAAAATACATATTATAGGTCAGTAAAATGAAATAAATTTGAGATTTTAAGTGCCGATCACTTGGTTATTTTCCCAAAGAATGGTAAAGTAGAAGAAAGAAGCATTTTTGGACTTTAGCTTATGGAAGTCCCCATTTTTATCTAAATTGTCTTGGGGGACATTCACTCAGATTAAAGTATGTGATCCCAGAAAGTCCTGACCTTCTTCCCTAGGGAGTATTTCCAACCACCACAGAAACTTATTTTTTTCCCCAATATTTTATTTTCTAGATTCTTTCTGTGATTTATACCTTGTGTGGACCAGAAGTTAAGATGGAATTAGATTTTTTGAGAATAAGCTGATAGATAGCAAAAAACTTTAAGGAATGATCTTGTGTCCCTTAACTACATTTCTAAGCAATGACTTCTATTTGTGGAATAATTTCCTAAAGATTTGCCAAGGAAGAGCATATAACTTCTTTTGTATATTATGTCTAAGAGATTGGAACTTGAGTCTTTAAGAAGAAATTATTTGTATAGTTATATTATTTATATACTAAGTAGCAATTTGTCATGGAGGACAATTTCATCATATATTTCAAATAAATGGGAATTATTTATTTCTAAATACATAAAGCATTTTGTGCATACCAAAAAGTGCAAAATTATATAATTATAATTATATGAGGTACCTAGAATAGGCAAATTCAAGGAGACAGCAGCATAGAGGAGACGGGGGAAGAGTGGATGTGGATTTATTGGTTAGCTAATACAGTTTTTCTGGAAGATGAAGAAGTTTTGTGTATAGATAGTGATGGGCACATAGTACTGAGGATATATTTAATATCACTGAACTGTAGATTTATTTTAGAAAGTTAAGATATGGATATTTTATATATTTTTCCACAATAAAAATTTTTAACTTCTTAAAAAGTTTATATATATACATATATATATATATATATATATATATATACACACACACACATATGTAATATATGTTTCTGTTCAAATTGGGATGGTGAGTGAGAAAGGAGAAAATGGAAGAGGAACAGAGGCTTAGAAAGCTGCCCTTAGTCTGATTTCATAGTTTTTTTTCCTGACATAGATGAATAGGTAAAACAGTAGCAGAGGAGATGAGGTAAGCAAAGCACAGTTTCAACCTGAAGAGAAATTTCATAACCCAATTTTTATTGCCCTCATCCTAAATACTGTTTGAAAATACTTGATACGACTCTGGGACACCAGGTCCTCAAGCTGACTTGCTCCTTTGATAACCTTAATTAAAACCACCCTCTTCTAGAAAAGCTTTTTCAGAGATGCCACCCTTCTTCGGAGAACCGGTAGTCTCGTAGTTGGATCTTCCTCTAAGATCAAGAGCCAAGATGGAGCTACACCATTGTCTGTGACTATGACCCCAGCAGCACATCCTGTGTGGCCTGGGACCACTTCCTGAGCATCCTCGGAGCTGAGACAGGAAGCCTGGACCCCAGCCTGTGGGCACTAGTGTCTTACACACTCACATTTGAAAACTGTTGCTGGGAAGGTTCCCATTATCAAATAAATGGGCACTAACTGTGGTAGAGAAAAGAAAGTTTCCTCACTGAAAATTCAGAGAAAGTTTTAAAGCATATGCATAATATGTGTGTATGAGTCCTAATAATAAAAGTTTGGAAAGATAATTTTAACTTTGATAAAGATTACCTAACCTTAAAATTAAAATTAAATTTATTTCAGAAGTAAAGTAACCAAATTAGATCCAATTTATACTGACCTGAAATACTTCAATTGTGAAATACTTCAATTGTTGAGTACTTTATGAAATTATAGTAATTTTTCAGATTGGCCTTTAAATCAAAAATGAATTGATAACAATCCTACAATTAACTTTGGTTTGTTATAATAGTTGAGATAATGAGATGTCAAAGTTCAGAATGGGATACAGTTAGATTCTGAATCTCATTTGTCTGCTGTGTAATTCTTGACCAAGTCAATCTTTTCTGTTACCTTCCTGAGATAATTCAAGTACTAAAGGAAAATCTCTATCAAATGTCTGGTACACAGCAGAATGCTACATGTTATTATGTTTTACTTTGTTTTCTTAATTATCCTACTCAGTGGACATTCAATAACTTTCAAAATACTAAGATACCTCTTAGGTTCACAACTATGAAGAAATAATACCAGAAAAATCTTAAAAAGGAACTGAAATCTGAACTATTAGAGAATACCATGAATATAAGAATCATTTTGATGTTGGTGTGCTACTTTACAGCTTCACTACATTTTTAGTTCAGTGTTCACCACAAAGCATTTATTTAAGTTCACTTTCCTGAAATACTCACACCATAAATGGGAGGCTGTATTTCTCCCTAGTTTCCAAAATTACACCTTTCAAAACATTACATATATGTGGGTACATGTACACACACACACACACACAACTGCACAAGCATTTAGATGTCCTAGAAGCACATGGTGGCCTTACATGATGATCCTCAATGTTCTTCAAGAGCCTGGGATCATCAAAATCACATGAATCACTTGGGGGGGTTGATAATCGGCTGTAAAAGAAAATGGAAAATATTCATCAATTCAAAAGTTCCTTTAAGTAATGCCATCTTAGTAAGAATCTATGTTCAAGAAGAAGCATGCCTGAAAAGCTTTGAATTTATAGTAAACTTTTAAAATTTGGAATACTACATATTATTTCAAACCATAAATCTTTAATCTGACTGTGGGATAAAACACCTAGAAGGAGACCAGAACCAACACCATTACTTTGTCATTTTAGGTGGGCTCTGCATAACTTCTCCAAGAGAAAATTTCCAAGAATTCCTACTCAAAGCATGTAAAACAGGAGGAAGACTGTTGAATCTGTGTGGTGATTTCTGACCAGAACTTGTAGAGAGGAGGATACAAATCACTATGAGAAATGAAACTGACATGATGGCTGTGCATACTCTCACACTGAAGAAAACAGAAAGGGTTACCTATATCCCTACATTCACAGTCCCTCCTGAATGTTCAAAGACAAAGGAAGATAAGAGGGTAGCAAGGCTGATGTCAGTCTGATCTTTGAAGAGCTGTCAGAGTTGAGTAACAGAAATCAATAGCTTGCAAGGGAGGATGCCGAAATGCAAGCTGATGCTCTCAGCAGAATACTGTGAAGGCTGAGTAAGGGGCAGTGGAAAACAGGGAGAAGATTCAGTCTGCATGGACCCTGTCTTGCCCACTCAGCCCAGCAATGAAAGCTTATGAACCCAGGAAGAAATGGAAGTCCAGGCTTTAGAAAGATTAAGGCAAAAGTAGCAATGAACTCAGGGACACTGGGCAGGTGAGCAGGTATGGTAAGGCATCCTTTTGACACAGGAACTTTAATTGAACTCTCTATATGCTGCAAGGTATCAAAGCCATAAAAAAAATCTGCAGTCAGATTTATAACCCTTGGCAGGAAACTGAAAAGTTCTACTCATGACAAGATGACTAACTCAAAAGATCTACAGAAACTAACAGCAAAGTAGCAGGTCCTGACTGCTCATTCCTCAGGACAGCCTCATGTCCCCCTACACACACAGTCCTACCAATCAACTTTGTTAGTGTCTAAATGCTGAAGCGTAAGCAGACGTTACTAGTTGTAAGGGAAATGTGGGTCAAAAGCATCATGAGATACCACTTGACACACAATGGAAAGGCTATTATTCCAAAAATAATAAAATTAACAAGTGTTATGAATATGTAAAAATACTGTGCATTGCTGATAGGAATACAAAGTGGCAGAGCTGCTATAGAAAATCTCAAAAAGTTAAGCATAAAATTATCGCATAACATGGTAATTTCACTTTTGGTTACTTATACATACCCAAAAGAACTGAAAGCAGGGTCTTAGACACTTATGCACCCATGTTCATTACAGCATTATTCAGACCAGCAGAAGTTAGAAACAATGGGGTATATATAGATTACATATCTATATCTATATGTATATATAGATATAGATATATGCATACAGAGGAATATTACTCAGTCTTAAAAGGGAAGTAAAGTCCAATGTATGATACAAATGAATTAACCTTCAAGAAATGTGCTACACGAAGAAGCCAGACAGAAATGCATATTGTATGATTCCACTTACGAGGTACCTAGAGTAGTTATATTTAGAGACACAGAAAGCAGGAGCTACAGACAAGGAAGAAAGGGGAATATGCATTTCACTGAAAAAAAAGGGAATATGAGTTTCACATGAAAAAAGTTCTGGAAATAGGTACTGGACAAGGGTATAAGAAGGCTTTTGAAATCTGGTAGTAAGATCATATGAAATGTCACTACAAAGAATTGAAAATCAAATGAAAGAAAAACAGAAAATAAAGTAAAAAGTATGAAAAATGGGGGAAAAAAGGTAACAGAATCAGAGACTCAATGTGTGATGAACAGGAGATCCAGTAATAATGGTTGGAGGAAAAGTAACATAAAAGTAGTAACAAGACATTTGCAAGAATATGAGAAAATTTCCAAATAGAAAGGGCCAACTAAATGCCCAAATCAATAAGAAAAATAAGCCTCTCCCTAATGCATGGGTGTATTCCCAGAATACACATAAAATCTCAGATGTTTCCGAAAGCTGGTGGGCAGGGTGGTGGGTAAGATCATACCTGAGGAGCCCGTGCTAACCCACAGTCTCTAGTATAGGGAGTAAACAGTATCTAGCACTTCTAATTTACAAATTAATACATTTTTTTTGAAACATAAGAAATAAATATCCTCAAAGGGTCTGAAAGTTGAATTTTGCTGGGAAGTGGGATATGAGTAGGAAGTATTCAACCAAGAGTTGGCTATTTTTTGGTAAAAACTTTGTATTGTTGTACTTTAAAACCATATTCAAATATAACTTTTACTCTGGTTCTCTCTTGATGTAATACAAACAATTTTGGTCACAAAATATACTGGTAAGAAATACCAAGTACCAAATTATATGATAATTTCTGATTCTGAAGCTTTTCCCATCAAAATATCAAGCTGTACTAGACTCTACTCACCAGAAATCATCGGAGGATGGCTCTCTTGCTAGTTCTGGAAAATGACTGCCAGAGAGAGAGGAAGAGGCATTGTGATCAAAACATGAAGAAGAAATTTGTGATAATTATATTCAAAATGTACACGGACAGACTTCCTGGCATTTGTCACTAGGTTAGTGTTTGCAGAAATAGAACATGTTTTAGCTATTCAAAGTTATAATCTTTGTATTTTAAATGTATTCAGTAGAGAATATATACTAAACCACTTATAACTATCCTTTCAAAATATCCGAAAGTCATAGCATTTGACTAAACAGCAAAAATAAACATTTTACTGGAAGAATACAAATAAAATTTTCAGTAAGCAATAAACACACTTACCCATAGGTTACTCCAGCAATACTACACTTCTTGAAGTTCATGATATTGCATGTAAGAGTTCCAGTTTTGTCAGAAAATAAGTATTTTACCTAATTAAAGAATAGAATATACGTGAAGCATATAAGGTACAAATATCAATAAGTGAAGTCTTTCCTTCTATATTTTATAAAATCTACATTAATTTAAAAAGAGATTTACTTTTAAGAAACCATAATAATTTTATTATTGTATAATATTGATAAACTGTAATGCCAAGCTCATTTTAAAACCCTTTTTTAATGGCCAGTTCTGGAGTTCAATTGTGTGGAAACGTGCAAGGGAAACTTCAGTAACAGCTCGGAGTCTCTTTGGTCTATGAGCAAAAGCACTTGGTCATAGCTTGCCTTGTAAGGCAGCCCAATGACACATACCATTCCCACACTCTCATCTAGGAATCTGCTCTCGCATCCAATATCACAAGCTCAAACTCTAGCAACCTTCAACATTTTTCTTTTTCAGATTCTGTCCCCTGATTGGAACAGGAAGGCAGATCCTGAAGCAGCACAGAACAAACATGAAGTTGCTCCATCATCATCACAATTAAGATTACAGGAAGGCAATATGGACCACTAAGATTACATAGTTTTCAATATTCAAAGTTTTCAGACTTATTCTAATGAGTTCTTAATACACAAAAATGGACAAAGAAATTTCTGGAGGAGTTCAACAACCAAGTCATTTGCCTTGATAAGCTGAAGAGAGATAAGTGAATTCCAAATGCACACGTGTTTTGCAATTTACGTTCTCTGAGAAGAATAACAGGATGAAGAAGAGAAGAAAGAACTCAGAATCAGAAGAGAGAGAGCCCAGTTTGGGTTCTGGATACCAGATAATCATGAAACTCTGGAAAATTGCCTCATCCTTCTTGGACGCAATTTCCATCCATGAAATAAAGAATGTGGCTAGAAAATATATATTATTATATGTGTGGGTCTGGAAAATCATTTCATAAACTGGTGAAATAATTTTCATCAATGGTTTTCCTACACTGACGGCAAGAAAAACCCCAGCTTTTCAGAAGGCTTCTAAAGAGGTGTTATCGTTGTAGAAGATGTGCTTCAGAGACTCAAAAAAACTGTTTCAGGGAATCTATGTTTAACTGCTTTACAGAGTGGGATTAATGATTATATTGCTTAATTATACAAAACGAGCTAATACACAGAAAAATATTTTTAAAGCAACAGAGGGTCTTTGAGTAAGATAAAAGATTATCTTATTATTATGCTTGCTAATTCTGATTTTTACTTATTATTATTGTTATCTTTTTCCTGATCCCTTATTTGGTTCCTATATTAATGTTCCTAAAGAAAAATATATTACATAGAACAGGTACATTAGTACACAATGGGCATAGGCTTTAACTCCAAATAATAAAATTTTATGTAAGTTTTATCAAGCCTGAAAATATAAAATTTTAGTAAAAGTACCCTTATAAGCACGGTCTCCTTCTACTTCTTTTTTGAAATCAAAATGCTAAAAAAGAAAATTCTTCAATAAAGAATCTTCAAGATCTTCTATCACTCTACTAAATTTTAACTTGACTTGTAAGCTCCAACTCAAAACAATTTCCCAAACGAAAATTCCCCATATCCCCAATGAAGATGAATTGTTTCATCCTGGGTGCTTCTTCAGCACTTTCAATCCCTCAATTATTGGCATCCAGTTAAAGGCCCATGAGAACACTTACATACTGAGCACTGTAACCAACTGACAAAGGCAACCAAAGATGTTATCAGGCACAGTCACAGCTGCAAATGGGCTCCAATGTCTCAAGCCAGAAATGGCCCCCACATCAGTATCATCTTATTTACTGTATTCATATTTACCCTTATTTACTGTATTCATGTTTGCAAAGACTATAATGGAATGAGAACACAGAAGAGAGACCAAAGTGGCAAATTTAGTCTAATATACCCATCCATCTTATTACGTTGTTGGGAGATTTAAACAAGTTGTACAAAATAAAATTATAATCTTCTATTGGATGCATTCAAAGGAAGCTAATCTTTGCAGTAACTTCAATGTAAGACAAAGACACAATGCAAACTACAACTCAGAAAAGAGAGTAGGGGTTCAGGGTTGACAGAGGGCAAAATAGTTCTGTGAAATACTCCAGAGACAAATTCCAGAGACATATCCTGTAAATTATTCCCTACATATTTTTCAAGGTTACCCAATATCTGAGTATCTTAACCCTTACTTTCTCTGTCTTTTGCTTCTGAGAAATAATTGTAAATGTCCAAAGTGATTTTACATTTTCTATACTAAATTATTTAAGATAGCTTCTAGGTGATAAGATATGCCCATGCCTCAAAAAGCAGGTCAAAATGAGCTAACATCTGTATGAATAGCACTCGCAAATACCCTATAGCTCTTCAAGTGTCTATAGCTCTTCAAGTGTCTAAACTACATTCACAAAGAATAATTTTTGCAAAATTACTCCACGGTTTTTGTAAAACTCCTCTTCCCTTATGCTCACACCAAAGACTCTCACCTGCCCAAGTTCTTCATTAAGGTTTGATGTCCTGGCCATTGCAGGAGTGTCATTTCCTAGATAATACATATCTGTGTCCTAAGATAGACAAGGGAGGAGGGCATGTCAGAAAAAAATTAATAATACATACCATCTATTCTTCACTTAGATTAACACAGAAACTAAAAATAGGTAACAAAAGTGGCAATTTTCAGTTTGGGGGTAAGAATACAGTGGCAATTAACACAAAGAAATGCAGTGATGGGGGGAAACATGGCTTTGAGAGTATCATTTCATGACCTAGACTATCTCCTACTCAGAGTTCAGCTACTGTTCAATTTCTCCTGAGAACAGGGGCTTCATTTGTTAGATTGTTGTGAAGATCAAACAGAAATGCCCAGGAGGGCCCTCTCTGGTGGCACAGCAGGTTAAAGCACAACACTAAGAAGCTAAAGCCTCTGCAGCACAAGTTTGATCCCTAGCCCCAGAAGTGACCACATGGCATGGCAGACCTCTCCTAACCTGCACACTGTTCCCCTCAGTGGTGTACTTCATCAGTCGGCCTGTTCTGCTCCCCATTCTGTCTCTGGTGAATCTTCTCACCACCCCTTCAACTCTGGCCTGTACCCTAGTTCTGTATGCATAAATAAATAAATCTTTAAAAAATTGCCCAGGAAAGCACCTAGCTACAAACACTGGCTGCTGAAGTCCAGAGCTCCATGGCCCATCAGCTCCTGAGCAATTCCACTTGCATTCTTACAACAGAATCCAGGTTTACTGTCAGCATAAATTCTGGTATATAAGGACAATGAAGAAGAATCACCTCCAAAACTGTTCCCTGAGCACTAATTAGACTTTACTGGCATGAAGAGCATGTAATGTCGTTTCCATTGGCACTCACCAGAAGACATACCCCTGTAAAGCTTTTTGCTTCCCTTTTCTGATTTAATCCTCATGAAAACCCTTAGAACAGGTAAGACTCTCCCATTTCAGACCAGGAAACTGAGGTAGCAGATAACTTGTCACTCAGGGACTCAGGGACACCCTTACATAAGATCTCCTGCCAGGTCGCCAGCCAGTTTTTCCAGAACAAACCTAAACAAGCTATCTTCTTCCTTTTGTGAGGACTCATTAAATGGCTAAGATTCTGAGCGTGTACTAAAAAGTAGTGGTTGACATTTCTCCAGTAGCTCTAATTTTAAATGCTGCTGTGATACTCACCCAGTTTATAAAAAGGGCTTGAGTATATTTTACAACCTCAAGAGTTACCAACAGACTGATGGGAATGAGATTGTTGTACAAGATGATGAATGTCAACAAGTTATATCCAAAATTATCTGAGCTTGTATCTGTGGAAGAAAACCAGAGTATCTGTTATTGGCATGGCAACATTAGCTATAGCCCCATTAAGTTTCCTTTTACTTTATTGTTTTGGAATTTTCTCAAAGACCCCCCCCCAAACATCTATATTATGTATAATTCTAGAAATTCAAGTTAAACAACTTATTGAGTACCCACTAAGTGGCACTAACTGTGAGTGGAGACTTTGAAGACCCATTCCCTTCCAACAAAGATCTTCTAAAAGGAAGCTGTGAGGGTGAAATAAAAGGAAGCGTGCCCTTCGATGTGACCATTCAGCAGGAGACATCTGTTAAAGGGGAGTTCAGAGGGCAGATTGGAGGCTTAATGGAAGGTGTGTTCACTGAAATCCATGAGGAATAGAGTTTTAGCCAAGTTTTGGACAACAGAGAGAAGACAGTTAAGGAAAGGGGATACAAGGAAGAGGTTTGTGGTCTGCTAGACTTAAACAGCCCACTCAGTCACCATTTTGGTTATGTGTGGTTCTGAATTCAATACAAGGTTAGAACAACCCAGTCAATCACTTATATGACCTAAAAGAATGTTGGATACCAAAACCCTACAAGGCTCCTTTCAAGTTAAACAAGAGCAGGATGCTTGATCATCCTGAGACAATGTGTATGAGGGATGACTGGGAATGCCCTAGGGGACCATTGATTGTTGCATAACCTTGCAACACAGAGACTTGCACTGCTGGGATGCCTCGCTGATAAGACTGGAACCATGGGTGGGGGGTCTGGTCTGGGTGGGGGTCAGCATCAATACAATACTGCATTATACATGTAGACTCACCACTCCCTGAAGCCCTAGATGAGATAAGTATATTTTCAGTTTTCACCCACCCTTACTCTTTGATCGCCTACACCATGTAATTGATGCTGTATGAATATTCCATCAATAAGAAGCAAGGATCTTGCTCTTTCGGTAGCATCCTACATTGTAGAGCCTGTTCTATGACTCCTGTTTGTCAGTGTAGTGTTGTCAATGCAAGAGAGGTGAAGCAAATAACTCAAAAACCGTAGTTAAATGATACTCGTTTGAATATAAAACATGTCACAAATATGGCCCTCTTCACTTCATCGCACAAGTCCTTAGCTTTGTCTTCTTAAGAACTGCTATTCTGCTCAGGAGCCAAAGCAAAGAGAATGCTGGCATGGTCACTATAAACAAGCCATGCTTGGAAGGATTTTTCAAAAATTCTTTTTTCCTACTTCAACAAGCTACCCACTTAACACTTACCCATCTTCTTGATATACCAGTTCTTTCCACCTTGAGACCCATTCCAGTACCAGGCCCCCACTGAGCTGACTAAGGCCATGACCAAGAGGATGCCAAACAACACCAGGATCTGCACATTGGTCACTTTCTCCACATTCGATCTCTTGAGAGGTGCTTTGGTGGAATTCTGCACAACAGCATTGAAATTTAGTCAGGGTCAACAGAACAAATTTCAGGGCAAACAGTGGGGAGAAAATGGGGAAAGTTAACCAAATTCAACAAATAAAAACTTAAAAGGCTATATATTTTTGCCAGTAATCAATGAAATTTAAAATTGGAAATGCTCGTGAATCAACAGATAGTGTGAAATAAAGATGATCCAATTTACCATTTCAGAGAACACATTTCAGTTTACATGATTCAAGCCATATTTCTCATGATTACATTTTAGCAAAAAATCAGCTATTTGCACTATCAAAGCACAACAGTTTCTAAATCATTCGTTTAATAGAAATCAACCATTGTTAACTCAAAAGAAGCCATACCATAAAAACCTCGCCCTATAAATAATTTCTGAACTTCTTATTTTCCCTCCAGCAGCTCAAAACTTAATTGAGGAGGAAAAAAAAGACATACATGAACACATATACATCAATAACACAAAATAGAACATCGACAGCATTAAAATAAAGAGATGGACAAAGAGCTCATTTGAAAATTTAAACAAGAAACAAGTAGAAAAAGTCAAGAAGCTCTAGTGGCTGGGAGAAATCTGAATGGTGTCCTGTATGAAACAGAACAGACAGGAGAGTAACCAAAAGCAGAAGCCAGCCTGGCCATCTGCAAGCATGTGTGGCCAGATTTCTCACAGCCGGTGGGAAAATGAGTCCAGCTAGAGTAGAGGCCAGTACTGAGCAATGGGTTCAGAAAGATGGATGAAATCAGATTCAAAGAACACTGCGCTACAGTCAGAAAACCTGATGCTGCATTCTTCCTGCAGTGGAAAACTCAAAAGGGCTATTTGCATTAGATAGCTGTGACCCTGCAGTCCATTTGCATTTTTAATTTTCTGAAGATAGTTGTGATGGGCATAAGAAGGCCCCTCCCCCACCAGGGATGTCTACCTCTGAAGACCTAGATCCCATGAATATGTCACTTTGTACCAAAATCAACTCTACAGATGTGATTAAATTGAGAACTCTGCCTTGGGGAGATTATCTTGGTTTTCTAAGAGGGCGCAATTGAAGCACATGTATCTTTAATAACAGAAAAAGGAGAGTTCCTTCCTTTGCTACAGAGAGAGCTATGACTACAAAGTATGATCAAAGAGATGCAACACTCTGGCCCTGAAGATGGCAGGAGCGGACCTATACCAAGCCTCCAGGATGGAGGCGGGAATAAAGAGATGTTCCTCTAACTCTCCCTAGGGTGTTCTAGACAGGAATGCTGCCCTTCCAGTACCTTTATGTGAGTGAAAACCATTTCAGATTTCTGACCTACAGAACTATACCTAACAGCTTTGTGAAATTTTAAGCCACTGAATTTGTGGCAATGTGTTTCGCAGCAATAGGAAATTAATATAGTAATACAGCAGGTGGTAACAGTCCATTCCTGGAGGCAAGCGGAGCCTGGACTAAATAAGAAGGCAGCAAATGGACAAGAGGAGAAAAGCACAGGGACTTCAGCCTGCAGCTCTCCTTCCACAAATCATGGGCAGCACTTATTTGCAAACATTGGGGAATTTGGAAGCTTGCAAGGCAGTAGCTGGCCATAAATATGGTGTCTTGTGCCAAATTTAAGTCAGGACTTTTCCCTTACTATTCTACATTTGTCCAATCACAAAAGGAGCCAAGATGAAAATGTCTCTGAAAAAAAGAATATAAATAAAGTCACATAGTGAATATAAAATAAAGATGAAAATGACTTGCAATTCATTCCTACATTCCATAGAGAAGTTTACCACAGTGTCACTGGAATTCTATCACCAAACAAGTATAGACAAGGTTTTTTATCGTGGTAGGAAGTAGGGAGTTATTGCACTGGTGATTTAGAAAAGCTAAGTCCTGGACGTATCTAAACAATGCAGCAACATTTTTTCTATCTACAGTTGACCCTTGAACAATGTGGGTGTCAAAGGCACTGACCCTCCCCACAGTCAAAATTCCATAGACTTTTGATTCTCCCAAAACTTTATGAATACTACTTTGCTAATACTGAACTAAGCCTTACCAAAACTATAAACAGTTAATAAAAACAAATTGTGGGTGTTTATGTATTATATTCTTATAACAAAGTAACATAGAGAAAAGAGGATTACAACAAAATCATGAGAGAATACCTAACAGAACTGTGCTGCCTAGGGTGGAGAACCTAAGTTTGTATTCTGTGTTTATAAGAAAATTTTCACATGAGAGGGGGCGTGCAATACAAAACCTTCTGTTCAAGGGTCAAAGGTTCACTGTTTTTGCCCTTTCACTTTAGTTCTCTAATTATGTGTTTACACAGATTTTTAAAAATTCTCTAGACTCTAAATGGAAACCATTAGTAAAGGCTGACCTGGCATCAATCAAATACCACCTGAAGGTCAATGGGGGAGACATATCACCACCTCTGACCTCTTAGCAAGAGCCAGTAAGTTCTAAGAATGCTTATCCCAATCTTGTAAAATTAATGATGATTTTACCATTTTTAGTAAACATGCATTAGAAAAAACAAAAATTATAATAAACAATTTCAATGGCTGAATTCTCACCAGGGAACAGGATTAGAAAAAGTTATAGGATTAGAAAAAGTTATCTCTCATCTAACACAAAAGCTACAACCCCAAAATTTCTGGCTTCCACACAAAGCATTTTATGGAAAGCCATGTTTCTGCCTATTCAACTCCCACCTCCATTTGCAGTGATGACCATATAATGCTAAGTTCCTACTAGTTGCTACAAGGCCTTCTAGAAATTCCATTGAAAACATTGCTACTTCTAAGTAGTGACATTCTACATAGAAATAAGCCAAACTGCCAGGCTTTTAAAAACATGTTTCACCCCTCTGATTCCCTCTGAAGAAAGGAATCAATTGAGTACTAGTTAAAATATGGATTTGGGAGCCAGAATCTGAGCTTTATCTTTTACTAGATCTAACTTTTGTAACTTGAGACAATCTGTACCTCAGTTTCCTCATCTAGAAAATGGGGAAAATAAGAGTATCTTCTTCATAGGGCCATTGAGAAGAATACAAGATTAAATACATGCTAGTTACAAGAATACAAGATTTAATACATGCTTAGACCAATGCCTAGGGCACTAAATGCTACTGTAAGTGGGAAAGAATCTAAGGCAGCCAAAAATTGAATGATTAGTGAATGCTGACAGGCTGCTTTAGGGCAGATGAAGATTATTCAGCATATCTGAGATGCTCCAGCAGCTCCTCACTATTCACAAATGATATTTGTGATCATATTTACTGGTTTTGAGCAGCTTTATTATTATTATTATTATTATTATTATTATTATTATTATTATTATTATTAT